AAAAAAAAATAAATATATATATATATTATATAAATAATTTAAATAGTAAATATATATATATATTATATATATATATATATATATATCTATTTTACTATATATTATTATTGTACTTTATATATTTATATTATTTTAATTTTTTATTTTCTATTTTATTTATATAAAAAATTACTATTAATTATTTATGAAAATAAAAATATTAAGCTATCGGAAATAATTCTTTTATAATTTATAATGAAGCATTAAATTATGCAAAAGGAAAGAGGAAATAAAAAATTTATAAATCTAAACATAAATAAAATCTTAAATAAATTATATAAAAATAATTCTAAATTGTAATATGTATATTTATAAGATTTTTTTAAATTAAAAATCCACATTTTTAAAATCATTTAAAAAATATTATTTTATTTTTAATTTTTAATGGTCAATTAAAGGAATTATACATATATATACTAGAAAACAACAATTTTTTTATTTTCTTTTGAATAAAATAAAAACATTATTAAAAAATTTGTCATATTATTAAAGATATAATTTTGTTTGTTGTGTACTAATATTTATATTATATATATATAAAAATAAAAATAAAAAATACCCTTTATATATAAAACGAGAAGCAAATAATAAACAAAAATATAAAATAAACTTTTTTGGATATATTTAAAATTAGAATATTAATAAAAACAAATAAATTGGTTATATCATAATTATGATTTTTCATTATATTATATATATTATGTATAATTTTTTATAAATTATTATAAAATAAAAATACATATTTTTTTATAAAATATAAATTACTATCTTTTAACAGATATTATATATAAATTTATAATTAATAGTATTTTGCTAAAAATCTAAACTACATTTTTATTATTATTATATAAAAGCCACTTTTAATTTTATGTATAAGTTTTATCATATAAAAAATATGAAAAAAAAAAAACTAAAACAAACTATAAATATTCTAACAAAATAAACTACTATTTTAAATATCTTCAATAAATATATTAAAAAAAAGAAATAATAATTAAATATATAAACATAAAAAAAATTTTTACATATATAATAATGAAACAAATATGTAAAAATTAAAAAAATAACCAATATTTAGATCAATAAAAATATTTTCAAATCCTATACAAAAAACTTATATGTATCTACTAAATGTATACTCTTTTTTAGTTGCAAATGAAGTAAAAATATTTGTAATATATTATTAAATAAAAAAAAATATTTTCTTAAAATGTAAGAATATTTTAAATTTAATATACATAAAAATAAAATAAATAATTAAAAAAATAAAAGTATATTGTAGAAAAGAATTATAAAATATAAAATTTAATTTATATCTAAAAAAAAAAAAAACAATATAAAATTAAAAAAACTATATAAAAAAAAAAATATATAAAATAAAACAAAATAATATAATAATTAAAAAAATTAAATAATAATTTAATAGGGAATAAAATATTTCTAAAGATAAAATAAAAGAAATTATAAAATAAATAAAATAAAAATTTATTATTTTAATAAATGATTTATATATATAAATTAAAAAAAAAAAAAATATATATAAATATAAATATAAATATAAATATAAAATATTAATTTTTAACATTTTTTAAACTTGTATTTTTTTTATTAATACACTTTTTTTTCCATTTTTTATTTTTTTTTTACAATATTAATTACTTTTTTTTTTAATATTTTATATTACTACTATATTTTTTTTTATATATATATTTATTTATATAATGTTTATTCTTTAATTATTTTTATTTTCCCTTTTTTTTTATTATATTAAATATATATTTTTAAATATTTAATGTTTTTTTATTATATTTTTTTTATAAATATATTTTTATATTTTTCTTATTAAAGAATTAATTTTATTTATAAAAATGAATTTATAATATTTTTTTTTAAAAAAAAAATCATTTTTTTAAAATTAAAAAAACAAATATATAAATTAAATATATATATATATAATTAAAAAAATTAAAAATTATGAAACTCAAAAGATTTTTACTCAGATATTATCCCCCAGGTATCATTTTAGAATATATTCGTTCTAATGGAGAAATGGAAAATAAATCTATTGATTTATTAAATTTATCTCAAGAGTATATAAATAACTTTATATATATATTAATATTATTTTATATTCATAATAAAAAATAGAACAGATGTAGATTAATTAGTAAATGAAATAGTTTTAGAAGAACCAATAATAACACCAAATAGAAAACCTTAATTAAAAGCCTTGATTTAAAGTAAAAATAAAAAAAGAAAATCATTATTATTTTTATTTTTCCATAGAATTAATTGACAAATTAGAATCCAAAAAAACCAACATTTTTAATTATATAAAACTTTAAAAGCTCATGTTCTTCCTTTAACAAATTGTGCATTTAATAAAAATGGCGATAAATTTATAACCGGTTCATATGATAGAACTTGTAAAATTTGGGACACAGAAACCGGTGAAGAGTTCTTTACTTTAGAAGGTCATAAAAATGTTGTATATTGTATAGCATTTAATAATCCTTTTGGGTAAATAATCTATGAAATATATATATATATATATATATATTATCTTTTAAAAATAAAATACAATATAAGTGATAAAGTAGCTACAGGTTCATTTGACAAAACCGCAAAAGTAAAAAAAAAAAAATTAACAAAAAAATAAATTAACATAGATATGGGATGCAATTAATGGAAAATTAATAAATACTTTAGTTGGTCATTAATATGAAATAGTATGTTTAGCTTTTGATCCTTAAGCATAACTTTTAGCAACAGGTTCTATGGACTAAACCGCCAGATTATGGGACGTAGATACTGGCCGTGAAATATTTGTATTAAAAGGACATACAGGCGAAATAGTATCATTAAATTTCAACGCTGATGGTGATAAATTATTAACCGGATCATTTGATAGAACAGCCATAGTATGGGACATTAGAACAGGTTAATCTATTCATGTTTTAGATGAACATACAGGAGAAATATCAAGTACTTAATTTGAATTTACAGGAGAGTTTTGCGCCACTGGTTCCATTGATAGAACTTGCAAAATATGGGACATAGCAACTGGGAAGTGTGTAGAAACTTTAAGAGGACACGTCGATGAGGTACTAGATATTGCCTTCAATTCGACAGGGACTAGATTAGTTACAGCAAGTGCGGATGGAACTGCGAGAGTTTATAATATTAATAATGGAGCTTGTATTGGAATTTTAACTGGGCACGAAGGGGAAATTTCTAAAGTCTCGTTTAATCCTTAAGGGACAAAAATTATTACGGCAGGACTGGATTGTACAGTGAGAATTTGGAGTGCTGAAACTTGCGAATAATTATAGGTTTTGGAAGGACATACAGATGAAATTTTCTCATGCTCATTTAATTATGAAGGAGATATTATTATTACAGGTATTTTTTTATTATTTAAGGTTTTTGTTGTTGTTGTTTATTTTTTCTTATTTTTATTTTTTTAGGATCTAAAGATAATACATGTAAAATATGGAAAGATTTATAGACTGATTGATTTTTTAAATTTTTTTTTTTATTATTAATTATTTTATTTTTTTTTGTTTTATTAAAGTTTTTTTTTTTTTTTTTTTTTTAATTTTTTTTTTTTTTTTTTTTTTTTAATAAGAAATAAATTTTCTTAATTATATATTTTTTTTTAAAAAAAAAATATTTATAAAATAAATGCAATATAAGGAAAAATATTAATAAATTTTCAAACATAAATTACAAATTAAAAAACAAAAGAAAAATAGAATACAAAAAACCCCTCCCAAGTAATAATTTATTAAATAATTCACTATATAAAAGCTTAAATGCTAATTTCTTACTTTGACTTTCGATAATAATAATTGTTTCATCGGACTAAAATTTAAATATACACACAATAATCATAAATTTTTTTATTCCTTACCTATAATTAATTCTAATAATAATAATCTGAAGTTTAAAAATACACATTGTAATTTATTTTTAATTTATTTTATTTTTTACTTATAAAATTATTAGGCAATTTTAATTAAATTTATAAATATTTCGATTCGAAAAATTGACAGTTCTTAATAAAGTTTTTAAACTGACTGATTTTATATTAGCTAATTTAAATATTATATTTAGTATTAATTTTAATATTTTATAATTGAAAATTATAATTGGCATATTATTTGAAATATCTGTTATTTAATTACTATAAACCATATATTAAATTAACAAGTGTAATTTATAATAAAAATCGAAAGTTCTAATAAGATTATAATAAACGTTTTTTTTATTATTATTATTTATTTTAAACTTAGTTATATAATATTAATAGTTTTAAAATTAAATTAAAAGTTTTTAAATATATATATAACCTATAAATTATAATTATTTAGAAATAATAATACTAAAATTAATATTTTTAATATACAAATGATTAAAATTTAATAAATATGTTATAAAATAATTACATTATAAAAATATAAAAAAAAGAATAATTAAAAAAAATATCTTTTAATATTCATGTTTTTATTATAAAATAATTTAATATATAAATAAATAAGCATTTAATAGTTATAAAATAAAATTGTGAAATTTATAAATTTTTATTATAATAATTTATAAAAATAACAAATAAAAAATAAAAAAAAAAAGTTAGTTATAATAAATTAAATAAAAAATAGAAAGTAAAAATATTAAATTTCAGCCAATTACAAATTAAAGTAATTATAATTGTCCATTAATATCAATAACCTTTAAGCTTTAAGAAGAAATACTAGAATTAATTTACAAATATTCATCAATTCTTTAAGAAACATCAACTTCAGTAATTTTTCCATTATAATTTACATAAATTAAATTGTCATCAGGTTCTATAGCTACAATTTTTAATGTTTAAATATGAGGATTTGAGATTTTTTAGATTTATTATTACCAGTTTATTTTGAGTTGAAAATACTTATTATTTTTTGAAAGATTTTTTCCTTAAAGAACTATATTTTAGTTTTTTCTAAGTTTAGAAAAAAATCTAACTTATTCGATTAATAAAATATCGTTTTAATTTAAGATAATATAATCACCATATTAAAGATTATTAGCTATTGTTAATTCACAATTCGGATCTTATTAAGTACAGTTAATTACTAAATCTTCAAATGATGAATCCATTCTAATGTTTTGTTTTTGTTATTATTTTATTTTTTTTAATATATTATTTTTTTATTTTTATTTTTTTTAAATAAATATTATATATGTGTATTTATATTATATAATTTAAATGTTTTTAAAGGTGGAGTTTATTTAACTTGACATCATTTGTATAACTCTTTTTTAAAAAAAAATAATAATAATTTTATAATAAAATTATTGCATTTAAATAAAAGTTATATTTTATAGTGTATATTTTTAAATATATATTATATTAGCTTATATATTGTTTAATAATATGATTTTGATAGTTATTTCGTCTTTATATTTTTTTTTATTATTACTATTATTCATAATATATATTTTTTTTTTTTTTCATAATCTATTGTCAGGAGTATACTAATTTAAGCAAATACAAACTTAACTTAAATTAATAAATATATATATATATATATATATATTTTTTTTAAATAAAATAAAAAAAATTAAAAATTAATATTTTTGCGGGGCGCGGGAGATATTTTTTTCAAAAAATAAAATAAAATTAATTTTCTAGAAAAAAATAAATTAATAAAAAAGATATATAAAAATTCATTTATAAAAATTCTATAAAATAAACAAAATATATATATAATTATTAAAAAAAAATAATAAAAATTTCATTTATTAATAACCCCAAATTTAACTAACCAAAATTTAATTCTTTTATCTTTTTAAAGAATAAAATCCGGCATAAACATTTTATAAACCCATCTATAATACTTATATTATTTTCTAACACTTCTAAATATACAAATTTCGACAAGAAAAACATAAATAAAAATAACTAAAATAGAAGATACGCAAATAAAGATTAACAAAAAATATTTTTCATCATTTAACTCTTAAATAACATATATACTCCATTCCTAAAGTAAAAAAATTATAAATTAATTCGAATAAAAAACTCCTAAATCATAATCTAAAATTTCCGTATTAAAAAAAGAACCTTCATTAATATTTTTATTCACAAAATTTTTAAAAAACTAAAAAAAAGAAGAAATTCCATTCCCTAAACTCTATAAGGCTAAAAAACTGCAATTTTTTATATTATTTTGGGCTAAAAATGCTTCCTATATTTGAACCGGAATTATACTAGAGTAACTTTCGCATGGATTCTTGTAAAAAAAAGAATAATAAAATTAATAAAAAGCTTTTTATTAATCAAATACTTTTAAATTAGGGATAATATTTCTCGAATTGAAATTTTATAAGGAATTTTATTTCGAAAAAGACAACTAATTATTGCCTAAAACATTCTATTCTTTAATAATTATTAAAGAAACTGTATTTTATTCAATATTTTGAATTATTTGGTGTATATTTTCAGCAAAAACTTAAATTTTGGTATTATTTAGGAAAGTATTTTAAGTAAATATTGAAATAATAGCAATAAAACATATCATTAAGAAAAAAATGACAAAAAGGAATTTAATAATTTATTTTTAATAAAAATTTGATTTTATAACTTCTTTTATTTTCTTTAAATTTTCTTTTAGATTTTTATCGTTTTTATTTTTTAATTATTTTTTCTCTTATTCATTATCTTCAGTAGTATTATTTTTCTGGTTTATTTATTACCAAAAAAAAAATTTTTGTAAATTCTTTATTAAATTACTATTATATTTCTCTATTTCATTTAAATCTTCTACATGTATATCTGCGAAAACCTCAATTATAGCTTTAAAAGTATACATGATTTTCCAAAGTTAATTAATAATAAAAATAAGAATTAAAAAAAGTAAAGAAATATTCACAATAATATAAATAATGAAAATAAATTAAAGAGAATCAACCTCATCTTGAATATTTTATATTAATAAATTATAAATAAGAAGCATTTAAGAGCATATTTTTTCTATATATGTGTTTAAAAAAATCATATTGGAGTCATTAAAATTAATTAATTAGTTCTGATCATATAATTATGACGAAAAATAAAAAAATTAAGCAAATAAATCATAGTGATCAAAAACATTTTGATCCGAAATTTCCATAAAAGAGTCTTTTTCATATAATAAATTATAAAAGGAATCGTTTTCCTTTAGTTTGCTAAAAAAATCAAGATTTTCTTAAAGTGTTTTTTTTTAGTGTTTACTGTATAGTAATTCTATATTTTATCTTCTTAAATAATATATAAATCTAATATAGAATTGTAAAATTCTAGTAAATTTATGTGAGCTTTTTTTATAAGAAATATACATTAATAATTATTTTAGAATTTAGAAAATGAATAATTAATAAAATATACAAAAGTAAATATATTTAAAATTAAAAAAATAAATAAAAAAAATCTTAAAATTAATTTAAATTTGAAATTTCCAAGAAGCAATTTATTTGGTTTATTATTTTCATCTTTAATCTAAATATTAGGTATGTTAGTATAATTAAATTAATTTTTTTTATAATGTTTGAAATCTTATTATATATCTAATACATTTTAATCATTTTAATAGTATGAAATATTATTATTATTATTATTATTAATATTATTATTATTATTATTATTATTATTATTACTATTATTATTACTATCATTTAATTAATATCCTTTTTTTCTTAATTCTTTTTTACATTATCATTTATATTTTATATATTACTTTAATTTGTACTTTTTTCTTCTATTATATTTTCAACATTTTTTTTTTCTTTTTTTTTTTTTTAATTTTCATATGAATGTACTATAATAATAATAATTTATGAATTTTCAAAAAACTAATTTTACTCAAATTTAATTGTGCATGATAAATTAATATTAACTAAAGAATTTTATAAGTTGTATTTTTCTTGTAATTTTTATACAAAATTTAAGTTTTGTTTTTATTTATTTTCAAATTTTTATTTCGAATAATCCTTTACCATTTCTCTGTATTTTACAGGAATATAAAATTAAAACTCTACAAACTCTAAATCTTAGTTATTATTATTATCTTGAAAAAATTAATTTACATTTTATTAATTTTCATCTAAAAAAAAATTATTAGTAGATTCTGTTTTTAAAGATTAAATAGTTTTTTTAGAATTCTATATAGATTTAATAGAATGTACAGTATTTTTTTTACTTCATTTTTAATATCAAAATTATCCTATAAAATTTAAGTCTTTCTTTTTTTTATTCCTCCCTAATACAATTAGATATTTGATTAACTGATTTTTTTATTTTCATCTAATCAATAAATTAACTATTTTAATTTTCATTATCTTCATCTTCATCTTCATTTTCATATTCATCATCATCATCATCTTTATCTTTATCTTTATCTTTATCTTTATCTTTATCTTCATCTTCATCTTCAAATTATAATTAAGATTAAGATTAAGATTAAGATTAAGATTAAGATTAAGATTAAGATTAAGATTAAGATTAAGATTAAGATTAAGATTAAGATTATGATTAAGATTAAGATTCATATTCTAAAGAATTTAAACTTTGCGAGTTACTTTTTATAGATAAAATAGGCTTTTATTATTTTTAATGATATTAGATATCCTTTTATTATTCTTCATTTTCTTTTTCTAGTTTTAAAGAATTTTCATATGTTAATATTACATTTTTTATTTCTTGTTGGTGAATTATTACGCCCTTGCGTTTAATTTGTAAATTGATTTTCCTTTAGTTTATATCATTTAAAATTTTCTATCTATTTTAAACTAACAAATTACTACCTCTATGTAATTGTTTATTTAATGCATAGGAATTATATTATTATTATTATTTTTATTATTATTATTATTATTATTATTATTATTATTTTTATTATTTATAATTCGAATTCTATTATTATATATCATTTAATTTTGTATGCGAAAATAATCTTTCTTCATAACTTAAAGGTGGTAAATAGTTTAAACTTTTTTATTCTATTAATTTATTTTCTTATAATTATTATTTTTAAAAGCCATTATTTTTATTTTATTAAAAATATTATGGAGATTATGGTTTACAATCTATACTTGTCATAGTATTTTACTATTACTAATTACTATTTATAATTAAGCTTTATAATTTAGGTGAATTCGGTTATACTTAATTAATTTAATTTTTACTTTTTTAATTTTTTTTAGGCATTAAATTCATTATTTGAGTTTTTTTAAAGATGTTTTTTCTTTTAAAAATATTTTTTTTTTATTAATAATCATTTTTTTATAATTAATTTAGATAAATTTTAAATAAAACTGGACAAAAAATTAAAATTGACAGAATGAAATTATCTTTCTTTTTTTTATTTTTTAACCAAAAGTTTTCAATTTCTAAAATTTATAGTAATTTTTAAGAAATAGAATCTATTTCCCAATCATTATTTAAAATAATGTAATTTTTATTAATATTTATAGGTCTTAATATTCCAAAATAATAACACTATCCATCTAAACTTAATATTTATTTCACGAATTTTCTCGCGTATATTAAATCCGAACTTTTTTTTAACATAAATACATTCTTTTCAGTATAAAGGCTATTAAATTTGCCATATCTTTCAAAATAATAAATAAAAAACTCATGTTATTCACCATAAACAGTTGGCATTATTACATCTAATTTCTATTTTTATTCCAACTCTTCCTTTTTAAAACCTAAAACACCAAACACATTACTCGAAACTTATAGTATGAGCGATCCGACATGTTTAATGAGAAAAACTACAGAATTTTAATCAAAAATATTACAGGAATCAAACTTAATAGAATTTTTATCTTAATTATTATTTTCTAAGAAAAATCCTGAATTTTAAGCTGAACTAATATTTTATAAGAAAAAAAAGCTTTTTTTTTATTCAAAATATAAAACTAAAACCAATAATAAAAAAAATTCCAATTTTTCTTATTTTTAATAAACTTTTAAATTTTTTGGAATTATTTGTTTATTTTTTTCAAAAAAAAAATTGTTTTTTAAAAAAAATTTCATCGATTTTTTACAATTCTATTTTTTCCTTTTTTTAAATAAGAATTCATTTTTTCCTTGTTTTTTAATAAATTAAATGTTTACATTTAAATTTTATCCATTTTTTACTCGGTTTTCACAACTACCTCAATTTAAACGAATTCCTTGTTTTTTTAAAAATTCTCTTTTTTAATTTATTCAAAAAGCCTTTTTATTCGAAATAACTCTTAGTTATTTATAAAAAAAGCGCTTTTTTTTTATAAAAAAAATCATCTTCTAAGCTAATATAGGATTCTTTAGTTTTTAAAAAAGGTATTCTGCGTAAAAAATACCTTCATTTTAGTACAAATCCAGTGTTTTTTGATAAATTTATTACACAAAAAACTTCAAAAAAGAAGAAATATTTGCAAAATGCTGAATTTTTTGCAACGAAATTTCCTTTTATTTTTGGGGTCAAAAATTTCCTTTCTTTTACAAAAACAATTTAAATCAAAGCAAGTATAAATATGCTAATTTATTTTTCCTTTTAATATAACTTCATTTTATATATTATTAAGGACATTAATTTTCAATAATTATTCAGTATAAAGTAAAATTTAATTTAAAAAAAGGTCTTTTTTTTATTTTATTTTTAAAAAATAATTTCTTCATGTTATTCATCTTTTATTTCATTATTTAAATTAAGACCGAAAAAAAATTATATTCCAGTGTTTTTTTTAGACTGCTTTTATAAAAAAACATCCATTATTTCCAATACATTCCTTTTTTCTAAAAAAACTTACATTTTTTCACTAAACAAACAAATTAATATTGAAAAAAAAAAAATCCAGAAAATCATATAATTCCTTTCGAAAAAATGAACTAGTATTCCCAAATTTAATCCCATTAAAATATTTATGTGAAATTTTTAAATTTTTCTAATATTTTCTTATCCTAATATATAGTATTCTATCCCAAAATTAAAACAAATATATAAATAAATGCTATAAATTCCCAAAAATACGTTTATATATATATTCTAGACACCTAAAACTGTCTAAAAACCTAAAATCAATTCAAAAAAAGTTATTTTATGCGCTTTTTCAACCATTTTATTTATACTAAGGAAGTCTTTTTTATTATTCTTGAGATTCTAGTAATATATAACTAACCAATATTAATTAAAAATAAGCAATAGTAAACTAAAAAATTAAAAATAGGCATAGTTACACTCAAAAAACTAATTAGTTTAGCATTTTAAGCTTTTGAAAAAATGAATCTAAGCAGGAAAAAAAAATATATACTAATAAAAATTAGCTAAATAACAAAACCATCTGCCATAAAAATATTTCCTTTATTTAATTTTAGGATACTTATATTTAAAAAGTATACACAAAATATAAAAAAAGTAAAAAATAAAGATATAATAATAAAAGAATATCATATGATTAATTTAAAATCTGGTTTATTTATTAAATATAATTCGGGTTGAAATATTTCATATTGTTGATTAAAAAAATTAATGTCTAGTCATTTATTTATTAGGTGCTTTTTAATATTATGTAATAGTTCTCAATTAAATTTATATTAATAAATATGAATTTTATTGTTATTTATAATATAGATGACCATTCAGAGTTTTTTTTAGTTTTAATAAAATTAAAATGGTTTCGAAATGAATTTATAAAAACTTCTTTATTAGTTTTTATTTTATCATTATATATAAATTTATATATCTATTTATATAATTAATTGTTTTGATTTTATATATTCAAATGTTATTTTATTTATTTGAATTATATTTATTTAATTTTTTTTAAAGAAATTTATTTTAATTTTAATTATTTTTGTTATATGTATTTAAAAAATTAATTAAAATGTATATTACCTTTTAATTTTTATATTTATGTTTTTAAGTTTAATTATATATATATTATCTTTAATATTTCTTTTATATATTTTTAATTATTTAAAAAATAAAATAAAATTATTAACTTTTAACTTTAAATAATAAAATAAATATTTTAATATAAATTTATATAAATAAAATAAATTTAAAAATTAATAATATAAAAAATAATATTTTTATATTTTAATAATTAAATTATAGTAATAATTATTAAAATTATTATAAATTTTACTCTTTAAATATAATGATAATAAATAAATAAATTATTTTTTCTCTAAAAATTAAATTTAAAATAAACTAAATTAGAAAATAAGAAAGTATGTAATTTTAATCATAAATATAATAAAAAATATTAAATATATATATATATATATATATTTAATTTTAAGCATTATTTATCTAAAATATTTATCTAAAATAAAAATATATATATTTATATATTTAATTATTTTATAAAAAATTAAAAAATAAATATGATATTACGTTTAATTCCTTTCTTATTTATTTTAATATCTATTTTATTATTGATAAAAGTCATAAATTTATTAATTTCAGGCTAATATAAGGAATGTTTTATATTATTCATAATAATAATAAACTATAATTTTTTATTTATAGTATTAATAATAAGAATATTTACAAGTTTATATACTGAATGTAATTTTAAATTATAAATCAAATATTTAATTTTAAAAGCCGTAATATATATAAATATATTCTCATTAATTTATTTAAGTATTTTTGACTCCTATTTAATTTTACTTTTAATATTTAAAGAATAGAAAATATGTGAAAACTCTTTTTTAAATATAAATTGTGTAAAAAATATCGAAGATGCAAAAGATACTTTATTATTTAATATTTTATTTATAGTATAAGATGTTATATGGATACTTAAAACCGAAATAATATTTTTAAGATAGTATAAATAATTTTAAAACACATAATTAACATATCAATAAGAATTTATATAATATTAATTAGAAGAAATTAGTACTTCTAGTATTCGTTCCCTAGAAAGTTAATATATTAAAGAAATTCTTATCGAAAGAGATAATATATGTTAAATTTGTATTGAATAAATAGAAATTTCGTAAAAAATTATAGTCATAAAATGTAAGCATATTTTTCATAAATAATGTATAACTAATTGGATGAAAATAAAAGTAAATTGTCCATATTTTAGATAAATTATTAATTTATAATTATTTAAATATTTCATAGCATCTTTTTATTTCGAGAAAAATAAAATAAAAATACATTATATATATTAGTTTATTAGTTAAGCTATATATTTTATATTTTTAATATATAAAATATATAAATATATATATATATATATATATATATATAAATTCTAATTTAGATATTTATTTAAATAAAAAGAAATTAAATATATGAAAATAATTATATATTTTAAAAAATATATATAGTAATTTTTTTTTTCTTTTTCTTCATATCAATCTATAAAAATTTTTATAATTATATATAATAGAAAATAATAAATACTTTTTTTTAAACCAATAATCTAAGAATTTTATCTTTATTCTTCAATTAATTTTTTATTTTTAAGATCATCTTATTTTTCGTTGTTTAAAAATTATATTCTATTTTCTAAAATAGTTTTTACTTTATTATTTTCTTCTAATCTTTTTTTTTTTAATATATATATATTAATTTGTGAGTTATAATTTTTTTTTATTTATATAAAATTCACATCTTATATAATTTATATTTAATATTAGGAATATCTTAAATTTTTACATCTCTACTTATAACATAGTCAATCTTTTTAATTTTTATAAAAATTTAATTTTTTTTTTTATTAGTAATAAATTAAATGAACTCTAAAAACTTTATCTCTTTCACTAATTTTTCCTTAAACTACTCCAATATATATCGCTTCAATAATTAAACTTTATAACTCTTATAAATTATTTAAATTAAGTTATTATTATAATAATTAAAACGACAATTACTTTATTAGTTTAATCATAATAAAAATTTGTAATAATATAATAAATTATTACTTTTTCATTATGTGCAAGATTTATTAAAGTAAGAATTCTCAATTTTTATAATTATTAATAATTTAATTCTGGAAATGCCTATTTATTTTAAATCCAATCATTAAATGTTTGAAATGCAAATAAATTTAATAAATCATAATGCTTTTTTGAATTACCATTTTTAAGCTTTTATAAAATTAATTTATATGAAAAAATAAATAAATATTGAATTATGTATATATGAATATATATATATATATATATATAATATATTTATATTTATATATATATATATATATATTTATTTATATTTATATATGTGTATATTATTTCTTATTTTATTTTTATAATTTTTACATCTTTTATCTATTATAATTACAATAATTCAGTAAATTAATATACATCCGTATCTTATATTGCATGATTAACTATAGATTCTAAATGGCTTTATTATGCGTTTCTTATTGCTTCTATATATCCTTGCATTTATTTAGTTTATTTTATAAAAAATATATTATTTTGCATTTTTTCAAATATATATTTTTTTTTTATATTAAATATATTGAAAATATCTATATATAAAAAAACTAAAAAATTAAAATATATATTATTTTTTAGATAAATAAATATTTATTATTTATTATTTTTAATTTTTTTTTTTTTTTAAATATATTATTTTTAAATATATTTATTATTTTTAAAAAAATATTTATTAAATCATAAATTTTATTAATATATATAAATAATATAATTTAAAAAACAATGCTTGAAACTTGTTAAACATTACTTAAATTTTTTGAATAAGCCGGAATGGTTAATGCTTAAAAAGCATTCAAATCTGAAATGGGTAAAATAAAATATATTTTATTAAAAAAGCGATAATAATAAATCAATAACCTTATTTTAAAAAAAAATTTAAAAAATTAAAAAGTTAATTTTTTAAGATCAGCAGATAATTTACATGAAACAAATTAAGAACTTTTAGGTAGTTTTTTTAAAATAAAAAATAAATGTATAAAAATTAATACTAATATAATAATAGATAATATAAAAAAATAAATGAATAATAATAATTAATAAAATAATAAAAATAATAATATAAATAATAATTAGAAAAATATAAAATCTTAAAATATATAAGTAAATATAATCATTAAAATTATAATTATTAATTTAAAATAAAAATCCAAAAAAAGAATCCTTACGAAAACAATTAAATAGTAGAAAAATTAATGACAAAAATAATAGAAAAGAATAAAATTTTAGTGGAAGAAAAAGAAAATTAAAATATATAGAAAATATTAGAAAATCCAACTTTTAAAAAGATTATAAATAAAAAAAAAATTTATTAAGACGATTTACATTATTAAGAAGCAAAAGTAAAAAAAAAAAAAAATCAGTTTAAAAAATAAATAAATAAATAGTAATAATAATAAAAAAATATATAATAATAAAACCAATAAAAATAATTTGAATTTTAAAATTAAAAATCTGATAAAAACACTGAATCTTTCATGTAAAGAAAAAAAGATTAAGATGATTTCTTCCCAAACATGAACGATAAAATGCCTTCTTTTATAAAAGTTAAAAATAATAATGATACTTCTGATTTTCTTTAAAATTCCCATAGTTAAATTTTAGACTAATTAGAGGAACCTAAAAATATTGATGAATATATAGATGACGATGATCCTGGATTTGATTTATATGAAGTTCCAGAAAGAGAATTTTAAAAAATAGCAGATTAATTGGCTGAAAAATACGATTTTCCAAACAGGGCAACATGTTAAATTTAAAAAAGTAATTTAAAAAAAAAAATATATATATAAAAATTAATAAATACTTTATAAAAAAATAGAAGTAGTAAATACTAAAAACATGTTTTTATAAAACAATGAAGAAAATGAAAATGAAGAAATAAGAATACCGAATGATTATACAAAAAAAAAACACTAAAATAACGGAAATGATTCCACAGATTAAATTATATAAAATTAAGAAGAATCAAAATAAGAAGAAGTATATATATATAAAAAAAAAGAATATTAATTATTTTTCTTTTCTGTTTATTTTTTATTATTTAATAAGTTTATTAAAAAATGCAGAAAAAATAAAAAAAAAAATTATAAAAATAAAAATTTAAATTATAATAATAAAAAAAGTAAAAACCTAAAGGAAATATACATCTTCCTAAATTTTTAAAGCATCCACCATCGAATGACGACTTTTACCCTGCATAATTAGATAAAGCAATATTTGATTGTTTTGATTTAAAAATAATAACAGATAGAGAAAGAACTGGATTTGAAGAAACTAAAGAATTCCCAATAGTTATAAACTCAATAATAGCTGGTAGATATCAAATAATGGAATATTTAGGTAGTGCAGCTTTTTCGAAAGCAATATAATGTTAAGATATACATTCTGGATAGATGGTTTGTATGAAAGTAATATATATATAAATATATATTAATTTATATATACATATATATATATATATTTTTATATATATATTTTATTATAGATAATTGAAAACAATAAAGACTACTTTGACTAGAGTGTAGATGAAATAAAGCTCTTAAAATATATAAACTTTAATGGGGATGTTAATGAAAAAAATGTATTGAAAATCTACGATTATTTTTATCATAAAGAGCATTTATTTATAGTCACAGAATTACTTAAAGACAATCTTTATGAATTTTACAAATTTAATAGAGAAAATGAATCTGTTCCATATTTTACTATAGGCCGTTTATAAAAAATAACATATTAAATCCTTATAGGATTAGATTATATAAATTCCCTTAGATTAATACATTGTGATTTAAAACCTGAAAATATTCTTATTAAATCTTATTCAAAATGTTAAATTAAAATCATTGATTTCGGTTCTAGTTGTTTTATTCATGATCATTTATCTTCTTATGTTTAAAGTAGATCTTATAGAGCTCCTGAAGTTATTATAGGATGTAAATATGATTATAAAATTGATATTTGGAGTTTAGGATGTATTTTAGCAGAATTATGGACTGGAAATGTGCTTTTTTAAAATGACACTGTATAGGGATTATTAGCAAGAGTTATTGGAATTATAGGACCTATTCCAGAGTGGATGTTTTAAGAAGGGAGACTTGTTAATAATTTCTTTACTAATAAAAGATTACTTTATTAAGATGTAATTATTATTTTAATTTTGTTTATATTTTATTATTTTAATTGTAAAAGGTTATGGAAGATGGAGATTAAAGTTAAAATATTAATGATACTTCAGATATGGGAGGTAAAAGAAAAACTAAAAGCGGTAAAATTTAAATACTTGTACCAAAAAGAACAAACTTAAAAAAAAGGTTTTATTTTTATTGAATATTATAAATTTATAAAACAATTAAAATATAATTTTATGAAAATAAAATAAAAATATTTTTTATTTTTCTTAAAAGGCTTAAAACTGATGACATTATGTTTTTAGATTTTGTTAAATAGCTATTATAAATTGATAGAACTAGAAGACCTTCAGCAAAAGAAGCTTTAAATCATCCTTGGATATCTTAAACTAAATATCCTGATGGATTATGATATATACATAAATATATATATATATGTATATGTAGATATATATGTATATGTATATGTATATATATATATATATGTATATAAATATATATTTATATATTATATATATATATAGTATAATATATATATAAATATTTATTAATATTATAAAAATATACATATTTTTAAAATAATTATATTTTATATAATATTATTAATATTATTATTATTATTATTATTATTATTATTATTATTATTATTATTATTATTATTATTATTTATATATTTTTTCTTTTTTTTTTCTTATATTTATTTTTTACTAAATTATAATTATTATTAAAATGTATTTATAATTTTCTAAGTTTATTTTTAAAAAAATTATTTTTAAGATATTATTGTTTCTATAATATATTTTTTTCTTTAATAAAAAATACATAATTATTAATATTTTTTTTTTTATATATTATTAAATTTACAATAAAGACATATATTTATATTTTTACATATTAATACATAAATTTTAATATTACTTTTTTTATATATTAATAAATTTATATTATAATAAAAAATAAAAGCAATATACACGTATGTTAATTTTTTTCAAATACATTTAATTTTAATACTAAAATATTCTTAATTTTAATAAAAAATTTAATAAATTAAAATTAATTTTTTAAATAAATGAAATATCTTTTTATTCCTATAATTTTATTATTATCAATTTCTCAAATAAAATGTATAACTTTTGGTTTTATATTAAGACCAAAAGATATATAATGTTATACAGATTCATTAGGTAAAAATATATAAATTAAATAAAAAAAAAAATAAAAAAATAAAAACAGGTTAATTAATTAATGTTTAATTTGATATAATTGTAAATCCTGCAAGTTACAAATTTTATATAAGTGATCCACTTGGATAAGAAATACAATCAATGTCCAACGAAACTAATGGAAAAGTAAAAATTGCATATATTTACTTTAAAAATACTATTTAATTAGGTATATTTTACAACCGAATAAGAAGGTATATATTAATTTTGTATTGAAAGTACATTATCATCTGGTGTGAAGATGCTTATTGATTATAAAACAGGTGTTGAAGCAAAAGATTATTCCATGTTAAAATAAAAGGATGATTTTTAACCTATTGATTTAGAAGTTAAGAAAATGGAAGATATGTTAAAAACTATTGGTAAAGAAAAGAAAATGTTGGGTAGAAAAGCTGGAAATATTAGTAGATTTACAGATGATGTGGGCTTTAAAGTTATGGCTTTTTCACTTATTACATTATTACTTCTTGCACTTTTAACAATTTTTTAGAATATTTATTTAAAGACTTTCTTTAAATAAAAAAAGCTTATATGATTTTTTATTTATAATAAAATAATAAATTTTTTTTTTTTTTTTAAAAAAAATATATTATACAAAATATGAGATTTTATTAAAAAAAAAAAGATAAAAATATTTTTTTTATTATTATTTGTAATAAAAATATTAATTTTTTTCTTTTAAAATAAAAATAAAAATAAAAAAAACTTAAAATATATATTTCTATTAAAATAAAAATATATAAAAAATGAAATAACTACTAGATTAAACATAAATATCAAAAGAATATAATCTAGAAACAACAGATTAATCCATATCTAATATATATATTACGAACTAAAAAAAAAATGAAAGTTTTTGGACCGAAAAGTTTAATTTATTACAATTTCGTAATTAATACAAGCAGTTACAAAGTAAAAACATTCTCCAAACAACCCTAGAGCAAGAAAAATAAGGTTTTAAAAAACATGTTTATTAATGGGGTGGAGATAAGCCTTAAAGTAGTCTAAATAAAGGTTATTTAGGAAAATTGAATGAAAAACTTAGATCTGAAGAAGAAGAAAAACAAGAAAACGACTATATTAATAATATGTAGAGTACTTTCGAAATTCACAAATACGATAATTATCCTAAACCAATTTTAGGTTAAAATTCAGAAGAGATTTATTACAAAAATTATAAAAAAATAGAAAAAATTTCCGAATAAAATAAATATTTTCAAATATAAGATTCTACATAAACCAGTATTCTTAAAGAAATCGAAAAACAAAAATTACTACCTTGTAAATTAGGTATTATTAAATCTAAAGGGGAAAATACAGACATTAAAATCAATAATATGCACTATGGAGATAAATACGCGAAAGTAATAAGCCAAGGAATAAAATAAATATAAAGCATTACCAATTTTACTTTAGGCAAAAACCGTATTTCAAAAAAAGGAGCAGATGATCTCTTATAAATAATAGCCAGAAAAGCCACTATATTAGATCTAGAAGGGAATTAAATAAGTTATATAGGATGTGATCATATAGGAAGAGCACTAGAAGCCAGAGAATGTAAAATCGAAGTTTTAAATTTAGAAGATAATAAACTAGGTGATAAAGCCATAAATATGATTCTGTAGTCTGTTTTAAATAATATTAATAATAGCTTAATAACTTTAAATATTTCGAAAAATTATATAAGTGATAAATGTACTAATAGTATTGTAAATGTAATCGAAGGTAGCCTATCTTTAAGGGAATTTTATCTTCATTGGAATTTATTAAAAGGGATTAGTGGTTAATTAATATTCTAAACACTATCATTAAACCATAGCCTGAAAGTACTAGACTTAAGCTGCAACTCATTAGGTTTAGGTCTTTCTTTTAGTTTGGAAATATGCACTTTTTTTACTAATAATAAAGATTTGAGGCATTTGGATCTATCTAACAATTATATAGACTTTGAGAATTCTAAAAAAATAGCCGAAGGTCTAGAAAAAAACAAGACTATATATGGATTACATTACTCAGGAAACACTGGATATATAGACTCTAGGGGTTTTTTGGTGCTTGAAGATAATTTAAACGAAGATTTAACAGGAATGCATATAAAATAAAGAATAAATTCATGCAAAGTACTACCTTTTAATTATTCATTTAAAGGACAAAGAGAGAAAGATTTAAAAGATGTTTGTTGGATTTGCGGCGGGTGGGATGAATTAGAAATCGAAATAGAAGAAAAAGATAAAGAAGACCCAGTTTTCATTTATTTTAATTTCGAAAACTATAAATAAAACTATCTAGGCAAAAATAATTTTGTATACAAAAGAATGCTTCCACCCACTTAAAATTTATCCTTTTTTTTCACTTAAGAAGATGACCCTTTCATAAACCAAAAAAATGTAAATTAAATAACCACAAATCCAGAAGGGAACATCATCTAAAACATAGAAATTTATGACAATTCAATTATAAATTCATTATAGATAGAAAAACTTAATACACTGAAAATACACAAAAAATAAGCTCTTTTAGATGAAAATTACCTCCCCTTAATAACAATACTGCCCCGGACTCGAGATCCTTAATATGTTCCCGCTAAGTAAAAAAAAACTAAAGCCAAATGGACATTTTCTATATCTCTAATGGCCAAATGGAGACCTGATGACGAAGAGCTTATAAAAAAATGCTTCGAAACAGACTGGGAGAACTCCAAAATCCCCCAAAAAGTGAAAAAATAAGAAGACTAAGACCTCCTTAAAGCCTTTTTACGGCAAAAGTATTAAAAAATAAAAGATTTATATAAATATTTTGCTTCCTTTAACCCCATATAGGATGTTTGGTGTATTTAAAACGGTCCATGGCTAGAATTAGTGGATTTAATGAAAATTATAGACTAAAAAATAAAAGATGCTGACTTAAATCTGAAGTGGACAGCGACTATATCTGGAGGAGAAAAAGGGAATTTTCGGAATCCGGAAAGAGGAATAAATAGACATTAATTAATGGAGGCTTTTGTGAGGATTGCAGAGGAAAAATATATACTAAAATATTCAAAAACATAGTCTTTTTTTGAAGCCATGAACCTTTTTTGGGATGAACATCTGGAAAATATCATAAATGAAGAAAAATATAACGCTTAAAAATGGAGAGAAGAAAAATATTGGAATGAAGAATGTGATTATTGTCTTAAAAATTATAAAAAAATCATAGATCATGTCTATAAAAAATTCTCTAAATTAAAAGTTAAACCAGGATAAATACCATTTATGTCTTTAGATGAATTATAAAAAATTATTTCTCTAACAGCAATAGCAGAAGATGAAAATTTCGGAACTAATGTTGTTAATTTTGCTTATAATTAAAGTATGATGACATAAATTGATGAACTTTAAAGTGATAGAATTTTCCAAATGAGTCAGGTAGAATTTTATGAGGCTATAGCTAGAATAGCAGAAGAAGCTTCTCTACCAGTAGGACCGGGAACAGTAGAAGTAGCCATTTATTCCTTATATATAGATAAATATATATTTATATATATAAATATATATAAATATATATAAATATATATATATATATATATATATTATATATATATATATTTTAATATATTTTTCTATAAAAAGGAAGGATTTTAATGGAGTTGGGAAAAAAGAAAATAATAAAAGCTAAGTCATAAATTTGAAGGACTTATTTTAAGAATGTTAAATACAGTCTGTGATTAGTAGTTTAAAGCTGGATATACAAAAGTTGAAAAGAGTATGTTTTGTTAAGATGATGATGAAGAATATTAATGATTTTTTATATAAATTTTAAATATATTTTTTTGTTTATAATAAACAAATTAGGTTTCTAAATTGTTTTAATAATTTGTTTTTCATATTTTTCTTATTTTTTATTTTGTAAAAATTTAAAACTTCATTTTTTTGTTCATAATTTAACAAAAATGTAAATAATTTTCTATTTTTTATTTTTTTTTAATTAAAAAAGAAATTTTAATTATAGCATTTTTTAATTATAAATATTTAAAAATAAAAGTTCAAAATAAATATGATTTAATCTATTAAATTAAATTATAATAAAAATAAATAAAAGAGATTTAAATTTATATATATAAATATATATTTATGTATTATCATTATAAGTATTTTTCTTATAAGAAATTTATAAAAATTTAACTTTATACAAAATTTTTAACAAATTTTTTATTTTCTTTCGAATTTTTAATTACTTTATTTTAACACAAAAAATTTTAAATTTTCCCATTACAATCGAAAATGGCCTAATCATTTAAGGGTAAAAACTAAATAAAATTTTATTAAAGATTTTTGTTTATATAAAAAAACAAATCCAAACTAATTTTTACCTAATCTTCATTTTTCAACAAATCCATTTATTTCTTTTTTTCAAAAAATATATTTTTATTTTTTTTCTAAAAATTAATTGAACATAAATTATTAACTAATTAATATTTTTCTTTTAGGCCTTTAAAATAAGGTAATTATTTACAAATGCTATCTTTCTATATCTCATTTATATATAATTTATTATTATCCAAGTCATATATGACTTTATTTTCTATATCATAATTTTTCTTTAAATATAAATAAAATTCATTCCCATCTTCATTAAAACCTAAAATGCAAGGAACAGGAGATTCTACAAGTTCCTAAAGGAATATAGGTACAATAAAAATAACCGGATTACAATACTTGAATGGTTTTAAAGCATTCTCAAATAAAAAAATTGAAGAAGTTAATAATTTGAGGTTTTAGGAAATAAAAAAAACATGTTTTTCTAAACAAATAGAAGTAAAAAGAAAGACAAAATCTTCATAAGAAATATTTTAAAAAGCAAAAAAAGAAGCCCATTTACATTCTTCATATTAATTTTATGTACAAAATTCATTAAGTTTATACTCTAATTTTATTTTATTATTTTTTATTACTTCATCATTTTTTTTTATAATCTATTCTTCTTTTTGTTTTTTTATATAAATTTTAGTTCTAAAAGAAGACTATAAAATATAATTTCTTTCATTATTATTATTTTCCTATTTTATGTTTTGTTATAATTTAATATCTTTTTAAATTTAGAATTATTTTATACAACTTTAAATATCTAACTTAGATAATTCTTAAATATTTTCAAATGAAAATGGATTTTCATTATCTTTATTTATGACTTCAAAGTATTTCTAAATTCTCTAAATTTTGAAGCAGTATTTTATTTAAGAAATTAAATCAAAAAAATACTAAAAAGCCGGAATATAGCTTATAAAGCAAAACGCAATTTAAGTTTAAACGAAAAATTTCTCATTTTAATTTTTTTCATAAATAAGAAAATCATCAATAATTTAACAAATGCAATATAAATTCATTTTAGGATTCATTTTTTCAAAAAACTTATTATTTTCATTAATTTCACCTCCCATTAAATAAAATACGAAATTATTATTTTAAGAAGCCTAAAAAATATTTAATTTAATTAATTCTTCTATTTTTAATTTATTCTTTTCTTAAATACTCAAAACCTTATAATATACGTTTTTCCCGAAAATAAAATTCTTTAAAGTTTTTCGACGAAAATCATTCTCTTCGTTAATTTTTCCTGGAAATTAAAGTAAATTTTAAGGTTATACTTCACCTTCTTAAACTTATAGTTCACCTTATTAAACTTCTAAATTCTTAAGTTATTAAATATCAGGGCCTATTATAAAGAAATCTTCAAAAGAATTATTCATTTCGTTGTTATTATTATATAAAATGTTACTCATTATTGATTATTAAGAAGATAAGGTTGGATCTCTGTTTTTTTAACGAAATTTTGTACTTGATTAAAGTTTTTTATCCACATTATATCTTAACTTGAGTTCATTTATAATTAAATATTTGGAATTGATTTGTACATATCCTATTATAGTTTTCTAAGTTATTTTTAATTACTTTAGTTTATTTAATTTAAAAATAGTAATGTTTACCATATATAAAATAAGGATATTAAAATATATTAATATATAAAAAATATTATATATTATATTAATTATGTTAATCTTATATAATATAAATATTCATAAAATATTTTTTTTAATTATAAAAAATATTATAAATATTAATAATTTTATATAAATAATGAATTATTTATATTTTTAACTTTTATTAATTATATTTATTAAAATTAAATAAATAATATATTACTTTGTTTAATTTATCACTTATACGTTTTTTTGTTTTAGATTTTCTGTTTAAATATTATTTTCATAGTCTTATTCTAGTTTTTATTTATGTAATTCAAACTATAATTCCGATATTTATTTCTTTAAGTTTTCTATTTCTTAATCTGTCTCACTAAGATATTTTTATAAATATTGTTAAATTTATGAATCGTTCATATTTATATTTGTTTTATTATTTTGTTTTTATTAAATATGCTTTTATTTATTGCTTTTGTTTCTCTTGTATTTTTTAGTATTTTAATTATTTCTAAATCATATAAATTTTTATCAAAATTTCTAATAATATTAAAAAAATATTAGTTTTATATAATGATTTATTTTATGGTTATTTAGATATATAATAAAAGTTAATTAATCAAAAAATCTTATTTTAATTATTTTATTATATTTGAAAAATAACTTATATTCAAACAATCTTTTTATATTTATTCAAAAAGTGCTTATATAATTTCTTTTTAATAAAATAAAATCTAAATTTTAAAATACTATTATAATAAAAAAAAATTAAATATAATAAAGATTATTATAATATTTAAAGATAAAAAATAGTTAGTTATATAATATAATAATTTTTTTTTTTCATTATTTTTAAACATAATTATTAAATATTATTTATTATTGATTATAATTAGATTTATTTTAATCATCATTATTTTAAATAATAATATATAAATTTATATATATATTTAAATAGGACTACCTTTTTTTTTTCAAACAATAAAAGATAAATAAAAGAAAAAAAAAGAAAAAAAAAAAACAGAAAAATTAATTTAAAATAAAATGATAAAATAAATAGAAGATTTGACAAATGAATTATAATAAAAAGACGATGCAATAGAAAAAGCATCAACACTAATAGAAATGTTAAAAGAAGATGTAAAAATAAATAAATAAAACATTTTATAATTCAAATAAAGTTAGGAAAAGCAGTAAAAGACTTAGAATATTTTCAAGCTTAAAAAATACAATATAAATAATAAATAAGAGACTTATAAAAATTAAATAAGAATCTCCAATAATAAATAGAAGAATTCTAAATTAAAAATGAATAATTTTAACAAAATTTGGATATAGACTAAGATAATTAAATATAATATAAAGAAAACATAAAATTTGCTAAAAACAAACATATTTTTATTTAAAACCAATAAAAAAATAAATATAATAAAGAAACCCAAAAACTAAATGAAAATACAAATAAATTTAAATTTTCTTAAATAAATATGACAGATAAAAAAGAAAACAAAATAGAAAATTGTTCATTTTCAACAAATAAAAGTACAAATAAAAATATAGGATAGAAAAAAAGATGCAATAGTGAATTTTTAAATAACAAAGAAGAAACAGAAAAAGAAATACAAACTTAAAATATAAAATAAAAAGTACTTGAATAAGAATTAGAAAATAGCTTAAATAGAGAATAATAAATTTTATAGTTATTTAATAAATATTTCATAAATTAATAAAAAAATACAAATATATAAATTAATGATAATAAAGATAAAGAAATATAATTAAGTGATTCAATTTAAAAACTTATTACTTAAAATTAAAATTTAAAAGAAAAATTATAGGATTAATTAATAACAACAGCAAACTTATCAACAGTATATAAAAAATAATCTATATTAATAAATATTATATAATTAAAAATATAAATATTTAAATATATAAATTTATAATTATATTTATATTTTTATTTTATTTTATTTTTCATATTTTTAAGTTATTAAAAGATTCTCTAATTATATAAAAGTAACTGTAAAAAATATGAATGAATAAAAGGAAATCTTTATTAATATAATTTAAAACATGAAAACATAATTAATTAATTTTTATTGGAAGAGTAATAATATGTAAAATATATAAAATAATATATTTTTAAAAAATAAAATAAAAAGAATTTAAAATTTAGTTTTCATTAATAAGACAATATTATAAATAATTTAATTGAAATAAAAAATAATCTTATCGACATAATTTAATAAAATTCGTAAAATAGAATAAAAGAAATTAACTTTATTTAAGAAATTAATACCATTCTATTCTCCACATAATAAAGCAATGATAAAATTGATAAAACTGAAATTATTTCTTAAATAAATTAATTGAAATCTAAGATATAAGAATATGAGAATATTTTAGAACAAAAATTTCATGAAGATAATTAAAATGAAGAAAAAACATCAATTTTAAATCAAAAAATCAATCTTTTATAAACTGAATTGAAATAAAGTTTACTTGAAAGAGCTGAATTTTAATTAGAAAAGGAAAAATTAAAAATTGATATTTAAAAGTTTGAAGAAGAATTTGCAAAAATATATGAAGAAATTTCATAAAACTAAACCATAAAAAATCATAAAATAACTAGAAATAGTAGCATAGACTCTTTTATTAATACAAATATTACTTTAAAAGATGTTTCTTAATCAGATATGAGAATTTATAGACAATAATAATTAGAAAACAATCAATAATTAGCTAAAAATTAAGAATTATAGTATAAAAATTAAAAATTATTACAATAAATTGAAGAACTAAGAGAAAGAAATAAAGTATTGGAATCTGAGAATTCACAAACAATTATTTTAGTCGAAAAG